AATTGTTTTCATCAATCGAGGTTGACACAATCTTTACCCATCGAGAGCGTGTCACTGCGTACCTAGAGAAGGCAAAATTTTTCCTTTGTCATGATCTTACTCCTATGCAGCGTAGAATGGGGTCTCTATTCTCACGTAAACCTACTGATTCTCAGTCTAATGCTCCCCAACTCGGTCATAATACAAGTGGCCGTAAGGATTCAGCTTCTCAGTCTAATGCTCCCCAACTCGGTCATAATGCAAGTGGCCGTAAGGATTCAGCTTCTCCTACTCCTGCGACATCTGACTCCCTCCTTCCTATTTCTCCGACATCTCCATCTCACTCGAACCACTTGACGCATTTGCCTGCCCCTAAACTTGCAGCAGCAGCAGCCTCAATTGTCGTTTCGTATCATCCGGATAGTCCCGCTGAAACACATGAAAATCCGTCTACATCAGCTAGACCGATAACTTCTATTGTCCAACTGGGTGCTGTAAGGTCTACAGCTAAGTCACCAGTGGCTTGGCATCAGAACGGTGAGACTCGGAAATTGAATCAGACTCCGACCCAAAAGATAGGTAGTACAGTTCCGTTTAGGGGTACGAGGCCTTCTCTTAGATCTAACAAGTCTGTTCAGCCCAGCACGTCTGCAAACCTCGCAGCTCCAATTATATCCTCGAATAATTCTCTGTCCTGCGTACCGGTTACTTATCAAAGCCCTACTATAAATCCAGCAAATAATTCATACATGAATTGCCCTAAATCATTTATGCCCCAACCTAGTTCAGGCTTCCCAAAACTTAAGGCGAATTGCTCTCAGGTACGTCAACCTATCTCCTTTGACTTCCAATGTAGACCTGGTTTCGCACTATTTCATTTTTTTAGTGGCCTACCCTCACCCATTTGCCCCTACTTTCCTTCTAGCCTCCCTCCTTCTCCCCTTCCTCAATTATTTAACTACCAACAAGTCTATCCATGTTCTAACTCCCCTAGCATTCCAATGTTTGAAAACTATATCCCCACCTCCTTTAGGTCTCATACTCAGCCTTCTCTTGCTGACTCCCCATACGTCAATAACTCTAAATTAACTGGTACTTATTCTCCAAGTGTCATTAATTCACAGCTTACATATCCGCCTCCAAATTTTTTTTAAATACCGTCGAAAATAGCATTGCCGTTCGAAACACATTAGATATAATATTATTGAATGCCTGGTCTGTTATAAACAAGATGGCCCAAATCAGAGCCATTGCTCTGGAAATGACGCCTGAT